AGCAAGTGAATGGCGCACTGCTGGAGTACACCCTGACCACTTACCCTCAATTTCAGGAGAAATTCAGCCAGCTGGTGGTGCGACTGCCGGAGCTACGCGCCCTCAGCACACAGGCTGAGGACTATTTGTGCTGCATGCACCTGAGTGGAGAGGTGCCCTGCAACAACCTGCTGATTGAGATGCTCCATGCCAAGCGAGCATGCGTGTGAGCAATGCAGATGACTTGTTTCACCATTGTCGTGTGTCTTGGTGAGACTTTGTATGGGATCAAAGTCAGCAATGAAAGTGGACTACATGCCAGCTCATCTTTGCGAGCATTTTTATAGCCGGGGAGGTTCTTGTGAGTTTGATAGAGCCCCGTCTGTGTTGCAGATTGTTTTGCGCATTTCACGTAAATGTTTTATATATTTATGTGGCCTCTTTAAATTGGATCAGAACAGTTTTGAATGACTTTGTCAAATCTAGTGGCAATGAACAATATCCATAACTCCAATTAATCAAACTTTGCCAACACAACGTGCCCACCTGCTTACAACCGAGCATTGACAACCACAAATATGTTTCATGACATTGACAATGTTGTCGAATGTTGAAAGCATGACTCTATTGACGTGAAAGGTCAAGTGTGAAGTACTTTTAGAAAATCCCAAAGGAAATATTTTTATTGCCCTAGTAATGAAACAAAATACATTCAAGCATGCAAAGATCATTTCGTAAAATTCAACAAAATAATCACCTTCCTGAAGTGATGACAAACCCCGGAAGTGTGACATCACTTGAAGACAACAAGAGCAGGGCTCACTATGGAAAGTGTACAAAGCTAGTCAGAAATCGATCTGAAAGTGATGTTTCAAACTTATCTGAGGGCGTCCAGGTGTTTGAAGAGTTGGAGGAAGAGGAGGTTGTTGGCAAGATGTATGTTGGACCACACATGTACGAGCCAGCTGCTCAGGAGGTGGAAAATGTTGTGCCCAAACGGCCAGACACGGAGTGGAAATGAGACCCATCGGGATTGGAAAAATGGTAAACGATGGTAATGGTAAACTCGATGCTGTGCCGTGTTGTAAATTGTGCACAATGGGATTACATACTTGGTCCATGTATTCCCGCGACCACTGAGAGCACGCGTCATAGTGGGTTGCTGTCCTACATTGTAATTGCTAAATTAGTTGTGTTGCGTTGTCGGACACGCCACATATTATATCGGCAGCATTGTTAATCGCAAACCATGACAGAGGATTCCATCCATGTAGTCATGTAGTCTGAAGGTTACATCCATGTACACGTATAATACTTTGAATCAAATGTTTTCATAATCAACAGCCAGGTTATTCATCGATTGTCACGCCTATCTTTTTTGCAAATCCGGTTGAGAATACAGAGGTCCCTGTTTGCCTGACTGTGAACGGTGCATTGCCACACAGCGCTCAGGCATTTCGCTGAATAACTCGATAACAATGGCAAAGAGAAGTTAACGCGATATATTCAACAATGCAGTACAATGGCTGACTGGCCACTCTGCATCTTTTGAGTGACGTCACTTGTTGGAGATTGCCGAACAATAGCGCATTATTTTGTGCTTTGCTATGGGTCTAACTGAACCTCGGTGGGTTGCGTTAAGAAAACCTAACGAAAATGTGCTTGAAATAGTTTTAGCCCTAAGTTTTACTCAAAAGATGGTTGGCCACGTTTACTTCACACTTGCCCTTGAAGTTTTGTGCCGAGGAGGCTGATGCTTACCCGTCACATAAGATGGCACCATTCGCCGGGAATCATCTTATGAATGATGGCCTGATGATTAACTATACTTTTTATGACAGATTTTATCACTTTTTTTTTTTTTTTTTAGAAAATGAATGTTGGCATTGTTGGCATTGTCTTTTTCTAATCAAAAAATATGCAGATTTGTGATTCTGCTGTTTTTACGTGTTGATGACATTGATAATATTACAGGTGAGGAAATTCTCAAGAGAATGTTCAGTTTCATTTGGCCACCTTCTAGAGTCAATATAGTTTGATTCCAATCTATTTAGATATATTAAACATCACAACAGACATCCGTTAAGATCAAATGAAAGAAAAGTTGGTTAAAGCCAGTAAAAAAAAAATAAATAAAAACAGTGGTCACACTTATTTTTCTTTTTCTTACAATCCCGTTGGGCAAACAGACAACAAAAGGATGAAAAGAAGCAGGTTAGAAGATTTCAATATTTCATTTACATTTTCAAATACGTTTTTGCGTACTGCTCAAAGGTGTGCCGGAAAAAAAATAATTTTGAGACTCGTATTGTCTCTATCAATTCAAGCGAATTGTGATGTGATCGTAGCCACGCTAGTCGGTTTAGTGACATCAACAGACTACAAATCAGCAATGTGACATTACCAAATACTACGTTATTTTTTTTTTCTGTGTAAGCTGTCAGCTTCAAGGATTTTATCCTCAGTAAAGGAAGCAACTCGGAAATTCCTCAATGAATTGACAACGGATGGATGTGCTTTAATATTTCAATTCAGAAAGACCTAGCCCCATTTGGTCACTGTGGGTTTTAATACAAATGCCAATTTTGGCTATTTCCGTCTGTGATGTTTTAGTATTTACTAAGGACCAGACTATCATGCACATTTTCACAATTTTAACATGATGGTCAGAAACAGTAACACTCATGTTTGTTGGTTGTTGGTTTTAGACAATGCCGATGTCCCGTTGCCTAAATATTTATTGACTTATATGTTTGTCCGCTGCAATATGTTTCCATTTAACCGCTTTCGTAGCAAACAGTTTAAAGTCAGTCGATCAACATTTTTGGAGTATTTCGAAAATTCGAATCATGGGTCTAACAGAGCAACATGTCTGTGCTTGGTAGTGATAGTCATCAATGTAGTATCTGTGGCACTTACTGTGTTGAAAAGTAAGCTAGACTCATTTAATTAAAAAAAAAAAAAAACTGATGCTCTGGGCACATTCAGTGACAATATAAATGACATGAATTCTCAGTAATTGTGAAGCAAAGCCGGAGATGAAGCATCACACAGCTCACTATAGACATTTGGATTAAATAACAGAAGTCATAAATGTCAAGATATTATAGACAATCGTTAAGTCTGCCTTAGTGTGAATGTCACCCACAGACACACAGACAAACACACACAAATGCACCTTGATTTCCCTATTGAGACAGGTGGTTGTTAACGTGTTGTACATGGTGTATATTTATGTTGTGAAGCGACAAAATGATGAGTCATTGAACTCAAAAGAAGTTCTCAGCTTTTTTTTTCAGGGCTATTTGCTACTGTTGTGAAACAGATTCTCTCGATATTGCTTTTGTTTTTTTGTCCTTCAACTCTTTTTTTTCCCCCTATGTAGGACGACAGTCCGTCCCATGTTTCAGTGTTTTACTTGCCAAAACAGACAATGACTTACCAAAGCGTTTTGTTTTGTTTCAAATTTATTGTAATAGTATCACACCAATAAAAGTCAATGAAATGAAGCTGCGCTTGTGAGTTGGCTATTTTCGCCGCTTTGAATTGTGTCCATATACCGGTAAGTTACAACTATTACAGCAGTCATGGTGTGGCTGTTTTTAGCCTTGTCTGATGATTTTACAAAACATAACGGATATCTCTTCATCTAAGACAGCAATGCTCAGCAAAATATAAAAAAAAACCCAAAAATTTGAACACATTCTGACGAAATCAAATTATTAATGCTCAGCAAAATAAAAATAAAAAAATTCAAACACAATTTGACAAAATCAAATTAATTTGACTCTTCAAACATCACACAACAAATACATCTTGTCAAAATCAAAAGTAGAAAATTGATGACGTCTAAAAATACAATCCTTGAAAACGATTTTGGACCGCGTGTGGACTTCGAAATATAACGGCTAACACAAAAACCTTTTATAAACATTGTACATCAGCGACTAAGATACAATAGCTGTTAGTTCAGATACAAAGACAAGGTACTGGGTGTTGCGACCTTTTGACCTTTTTACAAGAGGGATAGGATAGTGTCAATGAGTGAATGATGTCTCTATCAAAGAGCAATGAATCCAACAGTGACTTTAAAACAGGAATTACAGGAGACCTTCGGAGATCTAGGATACGGCACACAAATTCAAGTTTAAGGCGCCTGGGCCGTGTTCTCATTGTTGTGCTTGAAAGCTTTTCGGTTTTACACTCTCTCACGAGTACTGTGCAAAAAGTCTTGCTTCACCAAATGATTTGCTGGGTTAGCAATGCGAAAATAATCATTTACGTAACTAGGGAGTCATGAAATAGATCACAGCCTTGACTTTGGATGAACTACTATTAAAAGTGAAAAAAAAAATAAATCACAGAGCTTTGTATTTCGGTTTTGTTTGTCCATATTTTGTTTGTGAGCTGATTCCTTTCGTGTTAGCGGAGGATGAAAAACAGACAGGTGGTACCAAAATGAATCTGGGAAAGGGATGCTTCCAATGGTACCACATAGACCCACAAGATAAAACAAAAACAATGCAATATTGTCCAGATCACTAAAATGGATTTAATTATAATAAAAAAAAGCTTGGAATGACATAAGACTCTTCTCATAGTGCCGTATGCACATGAACAGGAAGTCTAGTTATTTTTCAAAATAAATTCCAAAATGAATCATAGCATACTGAATTTATAAACACAAGCTAATTTGGCGTCATTTCAAAATTAATCAACAACACACCCTGTAAAATACTAGGTTTTGGTAATGTGAAAAAAAAAACACCTATCATGTTTGTAAAACGCCGACACAGTTCAGTAGGATAACAAAAAATTAGATCCTGTCTATCTATCTATCTATCTATCTATCTATCTATCTATCTATCTATCTATCTATCTATCTATCTATCTATCTATCTATCTATCTATCTATCTATCTATCTATCTATCTATCTATCTATCTATCTATCTATCTATCTATCTATCTATATATAGTTATATAGATAGATAGATCTATCTACACACACATATATACACACACACACACACACACACACACACACACACACACACCGTATAACTCTGACTAGCTTAGCTGAACTTTATCAGGAATGGATCAGTGAAGCACTAATTCTTGTGTAACAGGAGTCTGATTTATTCATTATGAAAACTGCCCTTGTTCGAAACATCCCCAAATTAAACATCTCCTCTCTTCCCAAATGAAGGATTTGCATCTTTTTCAGATTGGATGTTTAAAAGTTCAGTAATTACTTGGAGAAATGGATGTCTTCTTTCCCCCTTTCTTTCTTCTTTTTTTTTTTTTTTTTTACAGAACCAAAACGTCACACTTTACAATTGTATTTCTCCCTTCGGCCATTTCTACCAGGATGCGATCAGCTCAACCACCAGACTGTTCACAGCTTCCACTTCTTTATGACAGTTTGTTCTTCGCGAAATGTTCGAGACTGAAAATAAATTGTGAAAATTTGAAGATGATGTTTTCATGTGATTCTGAGCATGCTATTCTCTTCAAGTAAACAAATGCTTGACATTGTTCAGCCCACGCATACTTTCTAATCATATAAGATGTGCATGACATTATTGGTCCTTCCTCAACAGGTTTTGTAAAGTCTGAGAAGTACGTAATTGGCATTAATATGGCGAGCAGAGATTGTTAAATATTTTTTAAAACATGCATGTTCTGTTTTTAATGTATGCAATTACAGTGTGGGGCTCAGTGATGATGTGGGTCTATGCATTGATCTGATCTGAGAACCAAACATCGTTAGTGTATAAGCAAATGGAGGACTTCATCCATTATTTTCAGTTTCATCCACACCAGCAAGACCGCCGTGTTTGTGTGTCGTCGCCGAGCACTCATATTGTGTGTCCAGTTCCACCCTCTTTCAATGTGATCCAAGGTTACGATGTATTGAGTATCAGGATGGGACTCCATTTTCAGTTCAACAACCTGTGGTGAAATACAGAGAAAGGCATGAGCTGTGGCAAAATCAGAATATGATGTTTTGGTATTGCGTGCAAGTGTGTTTGCATACAAAAGAGAAGATAAGAAGGGAGGCCAATTGAAAAGCAGAGTGAGAGTGAGAGCAGGTGTTGGAGTGGTTAATGGCTAATGCTGTGAATAGCCAGACATGGCCATTGCTGATTAGTGGAATGAACTTCTTCTTTGTCTCATCAGCCAACAATGAACGCCCAGGAGCACTCCAGCATCCAGCAGGCGTTCTTCACAGACGCTACAACATTTAATGAATCAATTTCAAACTTGTTTCTTGCCTCTGACAGGCAAATCGGCGCCATTGAAAGTGACTTCACCCTCTGCACCATCTGTTAGACTGTGCCTTCTAATTCAGAAGACAAAAATAGAGTTTTCACACAGGCCTAATGATGTGCACCGTGCGGATCAATGGAGATGCAAAACTACATTTGGCCTTCTTTGGCCTTGCTGCCAGCCTTTATTATTGTATTTATTTATTTTTTAACATTTTGTAATTTCCTGCCACACGCTATAGATACACGCACAAAGACATTAAGTGGATATTTTAACGCCATACATACAATAAATCGATCAGAAACAATCACATTTATGAACCAAATGGTGGATGGCATATTTTCATTAATGAATGAAAACACTTAATGAATAAATAAATCCATTTTCTTACGCTTAACCGGGGTCGAGTCTCAGGGCAGTAGCCGAAGCAGGGAAGCCCAGACTTCCCTCTCCCCAGCCACTTCATTCAGTTCTTCTAGGGGTGTTCCCAAGCCGATATAAGGAGACATTTCTCTCCAATGTGTCCTGGATCCTCCCAGCTAAACATTCACCTCATCAGGGAAGTGTCCAGACAGCATCCTAAACAGATGCTCGAGCTGCCCCATCTGACTCCTCTCAACATGGTCGTACGCCTTCTCCAAGTCCACAAACCACATGTAGACTGGTTCGGCGAAGTCCCGTGCATCCACAAGGACCCTCCTGAGGGTGTACCGCTTGTCCGCTGTTCCACAGCCAGGACGAAAACCCACTGTAGTTGGAAAACACCTCCATCACCATGGTCTGAAAATTCAGAGGCACTGTCCCCAAAGTCCATGCGATGTTCTCGAGGCGTGTCGAACACAACAGCACGAAAACATCCAGAGCCTTTCGGAACGCAAATCTGATCCACCCTCATCACATCCCTGCCACCGAGGAGCTTTTTAACCAATTTCGAATCCTCAAGCCTCCTGGCAAGGCGTCCCGGTGGAATTGAGGTCTTCGAAGTCTCCCCACTGACTAAAAATGCCCCGATTCAAGGTCAGCAGCGCCTCATTCCCATTATACAGTGTTGATGGTGCACTACTTCCTCCTGCAGAGACGCTGGATAGTGGCCCATAATTTCTTCCAGCCCATCCAGAAGTCATTTTCCACTTCTCCTTTGCCGAGTTTTTGCCTCAGCAACCACTAAAGATGCCTTCAGCCTGTCAAGATGGTAGCCATCCGCTTTCAGTTTGACGCCATCTTCACCGCTGGTGTCCACGATTGGGTTTGGGGTTTGCCACAACAGGCACCGACCAACTTATGGCCAAGCTTCGGTCAGCCGTCTCAACAATGAAGGCCCGAAACATGGTCCACTTTGACTCAATGACCCTTTCTCCGCCGGGACAAGGTTGGGGTTCTCCCAGAGGTAGGAGCTGATGCTCCCTAGGTCAGGAGACACTGCCAGATGTTCCCAGCAAACCCTCACAATACTTTTGGGTCTACCATGTTGGACCAGCATTCTCCCCCACCATCGCAGCCAACAAACCACCAAGTGGTGACCAGTAGCCACAAGTCAGATATACACAGGCACAAACAACAATCATGCACATGAAGGAGGAGGGAAGCTTTCCTCTCATCCATCATGTAAATACAGGATAGATATCCATATACACACCCACACATACGCAAATCCTCCAAACATGATGTTTGGCATCTATGCCAAAGAATTCAATCTTGATCTTGATAAGACCAGATAATTTTGGCTCTCATGGTCTGAGAGTCCTTCATATGTATTTTAGTAAGCTCTGTCATTTAACGAATGGCGTCTGTCTGGAGACTCTACCATACAGTGTTTGGTGCATTACAGCAAGAATCGCCATCCTTCTGGAAGGTTCTCTTTCACATAGAGGAACTCTTGAACCCTGACATAGTGACCATCAGGTTCACACAACTGTTACTACAAGTATTCCGAACCAGAATTCGAAATAAAAAATGTCAAAACCATCACTGTTTGTTGAATGTGTACTCGTCATTTTCTGAAATGCAGTCGGTTATTATGCCTTGTGAAGTAGACACACTTGTATCAAAAAATGTCCGTCCATCCATCCATCCATCCATTTTCAACACCACTTATCCGGAACAGGGTCATGGGGGGTGCCGGAGGCAATCCCAGCTGACTTCGGGTGAACGGCAGACTACACCCCTTAACTGGTCGCATGGCACATATAGATTCAGACCCACATCCACACCATCAGTGAGTTGGAACCGATCCCACGCTGCCCGCACACAAGTCAGGCAAGTGTACTACTACACCATCAGCGACACGGCTCAAAATGCAAGCGTACTATTTCATGAAAATAGCCATTGGATAGTTGTTTGGCTACAACCCTTGAGCAGCACAAGCAGGAGGGCATTGAATTAAAAGAATTCTAGAGGTGTAGGGAATTAGAAACATTTGATCAAGATATTACCCTGTATAAAACCATAACTGCATATTAATGGACCACCTTTTCGTCAGTTTCACTGGACTCATTTTCCATTCAAAGCTCAAATTGTTTATTACTATGACACCGCAACAATACATTTGATCATGCTGCATACATGTTTCTCCTCAATGATGGTGAAAAAAAAAACAAAAAAAAAATCGTACCTGCTGGTTTGAATGCTGTGAGCTGCACCACCTGATTGAAAAGAACAAAAGCAGAGAAGCATTTTGTCAAATAACAATAGCAACAACAAAATAGACTCAACTGATGATATCTCGATGTAAATAAATATGTATTGAATTGTAATATGTATTGTATTATAATGGAAATGTGTCGCTTACTTGGTTTCCCGGTGCTGGTTTCAATGAGAAACTCACAAAGCTTTCTTTTCGGAAACTCTCTGAAAAACAAAAACTCGGGTCTCAATTTTTCTTTGGAAACTTTAGTTTTCAACTAAAAATGTTTTTATTGAGACATATTTCATTTGAATCCACAATGTAACGCTGCTGAATAGAGTATTTTTGTTGCACACTCCACAGAGAAGCGGACCACAACACAAATGGAGGCATGCAAAGGGCGATGTCAGGCGATGAGGTGGGCCCAGTGTGCTGCGGCCCTGGGCTGAGATGCTAAGCGGCAGACTGATGCACTGCACAAGGGACTACGACCATCTCTCGGACAACCAGCTGCACTCTATGTCTTCAGCGGGAGTCTAACAGGGACCCCACTTCCAAAGCCAAGGTCCATATGGATTAGCAAGTAAGGTGTCATATACAGTATAGCTTCATCACTGTTCAATAATCACATGTATTGCAGTTAAACTAGAACAGGGGTTTATTTAAAGTTTGACGGCTGTGTCGACAACACGCACAACAGTTGAACCCACCATTCTTGATAACAAGCGAAGCGGAACTGGAACTGGGAGGCCCAGAGGTTTCACTGGTTTCAGGACTGGAAGGGGTGGGTGGGCTGCGGTCCCAAGACCTTATGGGAGCTCTCTGAGAAGTTACGAAGGTGGTTGGCTGAGAACAATTCTGTCATAACACATTGATCAAAAGGCAAATAATTTCAAACTGACAAAGCGGTTGCTTGGTTGCAATCACAAAGAATCACCAATAGGCAATCACCCCAAAAATAAAATAAATAAATACTGAAAGGATAACTTCTACAGACTGCTTGTCTTAGCTCTTTCTTTTAGCTGTGTGATTAGGACCATGAAGCTGACCTGTGGCTTAGACCAAGTTTTCCTCTTACGTTTTTGTTGTGAACTGCACAGAATCAGGAGACCCTAAACTGGATGAAGCAAAGCAATCGGAGCTTCCTCCGTGTTTCACAGTAGGTTTCTTTATTTTTAGGCTTCCTTTTTACATCTGTAAAGATACTCCTGATGTGACTTAACCACTTGTTTTAGTGATTCTTGTGACCTTTTGATTTCTTCAATAGAAGGGTCCCAAAAATGTTGCATTTATGTGTCGTGCTACCACAACGAGAAAACTCAAACATACAAAGGGAAATATATGGTATTGACGTAATGATGACATGATCACCTTACCCACCACATGCTACATCCTGGGCACTTACTGTGAAAGATAAGGCTTTTCTCTTTTCCTTGATCCTCTTTATGGCATTCCTGACCTAAATGAGAAAACAGTTTAAATCACAGGTTGGCAAGGCATGATAAATCAAAACAAAGCCATTTAATAAGCCGCTACGGTGATGAGACAGTGATGGTAATGTGAACTGACTGTCAACCTACCTCACTGTTGTAAACGGCATAAACTAAGAAAATATACAGGCCCTGCGGAAGATCAAATACACAGTTAAGCAAGTAACTGTATGGAAGAAAAAAAAAAAAAGGATCACTGATAGTGTGTTTCTTTTCCAGACTACTACTGATCTTCGGCTTGCTGTAAGCCCGTGCTGTGTTGATGTGATAATACCCTTTGAGTATGATACTGATAGTGGCCAATATATCAGTTGCTGTATTCAAAGGGAAGATGTCAGTCAATTACTTTATTTCCGCTTTAAAAAAACTGCAGACTTCTTGCAAGTGGTTTGTCTTGGCTTGTCAGCCCACTATTATGTCATCTCTGCGGCTGTTGGAACACAGCAAGAAGCTTTAGGCGTTCACATGTTTGTTGCCGGGCTTTGGTGTGATTTTGATACCATTCAAGTTGACCAGTCGGGTTGAATTTTTGTCAAGATCATGATGAGTTTAGTTATAACATTTTTGTTCATTTTTCATATACTGTATAGTAAGTTGCTTTTTTTTTCATGTAGAGCAGGGGTGTCGAACTCATTTTTGTCGCGGGCCACATTTTAGTTACCGTTTTCCTTGGAGGGCTGTTATGAAACCATATAAAGAAGTCAAGAAGAATGGTTTATTCACCGATTGTTTAAGTTACTGTCATGAAATCTTGTTTAAGTTACAGTGTCACTCGTATTTATTACAAATGAGAATTTGAAATTTTGATCGAGATTTTAGCAAGCATCATGAAAGTTGCCATCTTTGATTTGCTTTCGCAGGCCACAGAAAATGATGTGGCGGGCCAGACACCTGTGATATAGAGTATCATTCTCATCCAAACACACCAGGAAGCATTTGACTCGCTCTTGTAGTAACTTCAGCCCAGAATATGCAATGTGTCGAAGTTGAGAGCAAATAAGTCATGGCATTTTATCGTCATTCTCAGTTGATCATTTTTTTGAGGGCTTTCACATTTTCATGGATCTTTTTATTTGTCGTTATGAAGGTAAAAAGGCAATAAAGCAGCCAGTGGGCTAAAATTGGCCCACTTTCAATTATATCTGGATCGCCAGATGATGTGGAAAAGCCCCCTGGATCATTAGTGATGTCACAACATTCACGGTATTAAAAGTGCCTCATTATCACCCTGGTCTTGTTTCAGAACATAATATTGAGCCGTTCTGCTTAAAATGAAATTTAGTTCAGCGTGTTGCTTCGAAGCACCCATATCAGGCATGAACTACAAAGGCACATGACGAGGGTCAGAAGTAAGACCTCAGCCATGGTTTCATGAGAGAACTCGTGCAGCTAAACAGAAATGCCGCAAAGCTGAACGTAGGTGGAAAAAAAAAGACAAGTTGCAGTTCTACAAGACTACTAGCGTTGTTACCAAAGTCTAGTTAAAGAGGCCAAAAGGAACCATCGGTCGAACGTCATTCAGAAAAAAAAACATCTATTTAAAACTATTGATTCCATATTGTCAGCAAACCCGGCCTTTCTCAAGCTGTGCTGTCCAATTTTAGACCCATTTCCAAGCTGCCTTTTATTTCTAAAATTTTGGAACAGGTGGTGTTCATGCAGTTAGTCTACCTTGGACAACCTTGAAGTCATGGAGACTCTCCAGTCAGGTTTTAAGATGATGCATAGCACCAAATCTGTTTTTAATAACATCACTTTGTAAGAGGGAGCACATAATGGCACTTCTGGCCTAACTCCACTGGCTTCCTTTCCATTTTAATGTTAATTTTAAGATGCTTTTATTTTCAAATCTTTAAATGGTCTCGCCCCAGATTACCTCTTTGAGCTCCTCTGCACCTACACGCACCTGCCTGGTGCCTCAGATCAGCGGATCGGATGCGACTGGAGATGCCGAGGACAAAGCCTCGGAGGGGATCGAGGCTTTTCCGTTGCCAGTCCTTCCCTTTGGAATGCCCTTCCGTTAAATGTTCATCAAGCCCTCTCTCTGCCCATTTTAAAAACTCGTCTTAAGACACATTTTTAGTCTTTGGTTTTTGACCCACCATGAGACTTGAGAATGTGCTATTGTTTTCTGGTGTGTACTGTATTTGTGTTCGTATTAATTGATTGATGAATCGATTGATGTTTTGGATTATTTGAAAAATGAATGAATGAAATATTTGATTGGTTTATCATAAAACAATTGATGGAAAATTAGTTTAGGTTAATCATTTACCATTTTCACTGTCTTTGTTTTATAATTGATTTTAACTCCATGTACATCACTTTGTATGCAGCAATGTTTTTTTTTGTTATTTTTTTTAAAATGCTACATTCATAAAGTTGAGTATAAGTTGGAGAGAGGACGTCACCCGGCTGGCCTGGGAACGAACCACGGGATCCCCCAGAGGAGATGGATGAAGAGGCAGGGGAAAGGGAAGTCTGGGCTTCCCTGCTAAAGCTGCTGCCCCCTAGACGGGACCCCAGATAAGCGCATTAAAATGGATCAATGGCTGGATGTTTCTGTATTTGGGTTTTGCCTTCATTGAGAGTGTTTCTGCGTTTCTAACTGAACTTGAAATTTTGGACTTAAGCAAAGGAAGCACTTGTGAATAGGCAATATTACAATTCTAATGTTATAAATGAAGAAATATATGAAAAATACTAAATGAATTAGTGATCATATAATTCCTCAATGGACAGTTTATTTACATTGTGAGTATCGCATAATTGTTGCTACGGTGACAGTAGTGCACGGCAATATCTATTTGAAGATGTTTTTTGAGATGATATATATATATATAAATTTCTTAAATGTAAACCTTTTTGGATAATGTTGTCTTTAATACTTTACAGTCCCACTCATGTTAGTGGTGACATAATTCATTGTTTTTTGGTGTATGACTCTGAAACTGTTTTGGTCCAAGGAAAATACAGACCAGTTTAGCATCCACCTCCTACCGACATGAGAAAGAACTCCTACTGTCTTGTTGCATGCCCTCAGCTGGACACATGCCGTAAATCTAAATTAACAAGCAGCTCTTTGGGGGTCATGTAGGGGCTAGCTTTTGATTAATTAAAAATCAGAGGAGGGTAGACGGGTGGTTGAGGTAAGAAACAGAAAGGAGCAAAGACAGAGGGAGACTGTGCAAAATAAAACCAAAAGAGGAGTACTGTAGAAAAAAAAACTAGGAGTGAGAAGAGAAAGGAAGTGGTTGCTGTGTAATCAAGGGAGGAGAGCTATAAAGGTAGATAGGGTAGGAGCAGACTAGAGTCTCCCACACACTCACACACATATGCATTATGCACTTCAAGTACTTGCAGTGACATGCTCGATCTGTTCTCACAGTCAAATTTACCTCTCTCTTTTTGTACCCAAATAAGCGAGCACTCATGCTTCCTCAATGGAAATATAAAATTAATATGCTAACGTTGATCATTTTGATGCAATATATGGTATACGAGCTACTCAACTCAACTCTCAACTGTATTTATAGAGCACTTTTATTTTCCCAACGTCTGCACCTCCGAACGAACGAACCAGAACACACCTCCTTCCCGGAAACACCAAACACTTCCTGGTTTCCTTAACCAATCTACCCCAAAGAGGTGACGTGGGTCAAATGGTGACTGTCATGATTCTGTTTGTGACCAACAGGTGGCACTGTAGGGGTCTCCCTGCAGCTGCACACCTGTTGGTCATTATGCAATTATTGCTAAAAAAGGACTCCCTCCCGACCACTCATTGTCGGGTCGTTGTGGCTGTTTGTTTGTGCTTGCTACTGTCATGTTTGTTCTCAGTCATGTTTTGGTCACTGTTATGTTTTATCATCAGTCATGATTTTTGTTTGATACTTTGGACTTTGTTTGTTTTGGATTTAGTTTTCTCTATTTTTTCATACAATTTGTCAAGTACACCCTGCTCCTCCCTCCTGGCTGCTTTTTGGGGTCCACCACCACCTCGCAACGTGACAGACTGTGGGTCAAATAAAACTCATCTCATGAATCCATAGCATGCATCGAGTCCAAAAGTCTCATGAGTTGTCTGTTGAACACAGAAGATGGAGAAGCATGACTAATATACTGTATTTTCATTTACAATGCTCTTCTCTACCGTTCAACAAAAGAACCCAGCCACATTAGTTCAATATCACTCCAGTCATACATCAATCCATTCTCGACATTGCTTACTCTGTTCAGGGGAAAGGCAGACTACGCCCTGAACTGGTCATCAGTCAGTCAGAATGCACATAGAGACCGACCACCATACAGACTCAGATTCACACCGTCACTGAGAGGAGCTCTTTTACAGAGTGCCTCCGTTTCTCCATGCCCTCACATCCATTTTTGTGTTGAATAAGTGGAACATAATGGCAATGTGTCTGTATAATTTATCATGATTGCTTATAATTTTAACATCCATCCATCCATTTGCTATCCTCAAAAGAGTCGTGGGGGTCTTGGAGCCGATCCCAGCTAACCTCGGGCAGTAGGCGGGGGACACCCTGAACCGGTTGCCAGCCAATCGCAGGGCACACAGAGACAAACAACCATCTGCACTCACACCACACCTCGGGACAATTTGAAGTGCCCAATCAATTTGCCATGCGTGTTTTTGGAATGTAGAAGGAAACTGGATGACCCGGAGAAAACCCACGCAGGCACAGGGAGAACATGCAAACTCCACACAGGAAGGCCAGAGCCGGAATTGAACCCTGCACCCTTGCACTGTGAGGCCGACGTGCCAACCATTGTTCCGCCATGCCTTTATATGAAGTAAATACAATATTCAGTCAAATTATCACAAGTGTATTGTTTTCTAAATTGTGTATTTAAATTTTTTTGATGCCCACATGCTGTGCTGAACCAAATTCTTGCTGGGACATGATTTTTGTTCCATCTCCTGTTTCATTGTTGTTTTGTCTGTTTCATGGATTTTTTGCCTCCATAAGAAAAGAGATTTCACGTTCGATTTTAACACTTGACGATTGATTAGTTTTTAGCGTTGTCGGTATTATCTTTAGCTGCAATATTACAGCATATTTGATTTATTCATGCAGTTTTATCCTGCTAAAAATATGTTTTGAAACTTCCCAGCTGAACTTGTCCTGCTTCATTGTGAACACGATGTGATTGGTTGATAGAGGCCTGTTACCACAGGCTATGTCGATCAAGAGACATTAAATCATATCTTTTGAGTCAGTCAGAATCTTTTATTTTGAATGTCATCCTGATGCTACGAAGTCCTCGCCTTTTGTGCAGATGGAGACAGCTTTCAACTAAAATAAGGCTGGGTGTGTAGACGACTGAGGAACCTCAAAAACTAAATGCACTAAAAGTCATACCGTTGATATTTGAGCAAGACTGGGAAATGATGGGCCTATGCAGCGACACAAAACATTCTCAATTGACCCACTTGAGTCATTAAAAAATATCAATTCACTTACGTTTGAAACACACTTCAACTCTTTTCTCTTGAAAGTTAGAAGCAGTTCATATCTTATCTACCAAAATAAATCTCGTTCTGATAAATTGCTTCTCAATAGGGTCATGGATGTGCTGGAGTCTCTTCCATCTGACTCTGGTCGCGAGACTGGTTTTACACCCTGTACAGGGAGCCATCCAATAACGAGACCCATAGTAGACAAACAAACAAACAACCTCTTCACTAACACAAATTCACTGGTCCTATCTTCGCCCTCTTTTCACCATACATACCACCACACACACGTTTCATTCCAGCAGTCTAATTAACGACTTCATTCCAAACGTTCGCACTATTTCTGGTTCAAGTTCCTGCCCCAAAACGACTGCAACGCTCTGCAACAAATACAACTCCCCTCATTCATCCAACAATCACTGTTTTTAATAGTTAGTGAGGGATACTTTGATGCACCTCCAGGATTTGGAGCCAGTTATTTCAGACATGCACACAAACGTAAAGGGATTCATTAAGCAATATACAGTGTGAGTGTTCAACAGTGCTACAATATTGATCAGCAACATTAAGCAAATGATGCAGAGTGACACAGCTAAAGCAATGAATACTGTTATAATATATACAATGTGCTTCTCAATTATTTTCTTTTACGCTTCCCACTAGGAAGAAGAAAAGCTTTTGCACCCCCCAAATCTCGGCCATGCCTCTAGATAGAATCATTTGTTGATAAAACTGTACTAAACCTCTGCGTTACATTTTATTTGAATTCTCAACATTGAAGAAAACACAAAAGAATAAAATATAGAACACATTACAAATAACTGTAAACATTATTTTTAGTCTCTCTCCAACTTTCATCTCTGTCAAATAGTTTTCAATAGTGTCTCATGAGGGTTTACTCCTTGCTCTTCATATCTCGGTGCATGCTGGGTGCATAAATAAATAAATAAAAAAAACATCTACACTTTAGAGCTAATACGCTCTGTGTACACTATGACAATAGGAGCGCTACTGCCACCTACTGTAGTGGATGTACAAATATACTTCATTCCCCTCCCAAAGAGATGTGCAACATAGTAAAGTGTCCCAATAAAATTATGAGTCATCTGTCAGTAGTGCTGATCCAAGGGATGGATGGAGCTGCAAAAGTTATGGTCCAGTGACCTCATTTATTAAAGGCTGCATAGAACAGGTTCAAAATTTGTAAATAGTACAACTGAAATTTAGAGTGTGCCGAAGTAGAGAAAAGTCTGTATTTATCAACCCTGTCATATGGACACCAGTAAGTAATGAAATTGATAAATCCCACCTGTTCTAAACAGCCATGCCTCATTGGCATTGAGACACACCTGCTACTGACCATTTAGAGTATTTGCAATCCCTTTAAGAAATCCAAAATTATGACAAAGTGGTCAGAAAGAATGCATGTTGCCCTCTTCTGCATAGTTTAAATTTCTACCAGGCCTAGTAGAGTGCAGCTACTCCCCCAGCCATTATGTCCCCCTCAAAAATTTGGGACTGATTTCTAAAAGCTGACAAACAAAAGGGCCAGACTAGACGTCTTGGTAGAATGTCCTCCCATGTGTGCGTGACTGGTGTCAGGTACACGAAAAATAAACAAAAAAACCCAATGAAAACCAAAAAGCCCTTCTGTTTGTCCTCGAATGATCGTCTTGTACTTTACTCTGGAAGTTATGGATGAAGTAAATCTCCAATTTCATTTTGGAATATTTTTAAATTATGTTCGACTGTATTTTTAACTTATATTTTATTAATTTATAAGGTATCTGGTGGTTAAGGATTTTTTGTTTTTTTGTCGTTTGTTTTTTGTGATTCAACAGTTGCAAACTCAGCTCCCCGCAATTTCTGATGATGAACTGAACTCACAACTAAACACTGAAAATCTCACCTATTTGCACTTCCTGTAATGCCCTCAGATACCCCGACCCTGCACATTTAAGGTGACATGTTATCAGAGAAATAGAGATGGTCAAGCTCGCAAGCTTAAAAGTGAACAAAAGTACGACCGAACATTCCCGTAGACGTCTGAAAGACAGGCAAGGCTCCTTGTGGACATGATCCCAGAGAAAGCACGGTGGTAAACTTCTAAAGATTATGCAGCGAAAGGTCTGGATCGCATTTGTCACAGGTGGAATTTAACACCTTTTCTAGCCTATGTACTGCATCACTGAGAATCAACAAACAATGAAATGGCTAGCAGCAAAATACTATTTGCTATTTCATGAGCTGTAAAGCTGAAACACTTCCTTTTTTTTGTTACATCAACTTATGGGTCGACCACTTATTTTGAAGGGTCATGAGTTTCAAATTATATTACAGTGTTTCATTTCATGACAAGAACTAGTTGTATGGCGGCCCGGTGGACCAGTGGTTAGCGCATCTACCTCACAGTGCAGAGGTCGTGGGTTCGATTCCAGCTTCGGCCTCCCTGTGTGGAGTTTGCATGTTCTCCCCAGGCCTGCGTGGGTTTTCTCCGGGTACTCCGGTTTCCTCCCACATTCCAAAAACATGCATGGCAGGCTGATTGAAAGCTCAAACTTGTCCCTAGGTGTGATTATGAGCGAGGACGGTTGTTCGTCTTTGTGTGCCCTGTGATTGGCTGGCAACCGGTTCAGGGTGTCCCCTGCCTACTGCGCAAAGACGGCTGGGATAGGCTCCAGCAACCCCCGTGACCCTTGCGAGGATAAAGCGGATCGGAAAATGGATGCATGGATGGATGGATAAGTTTGTTGTATATTTTAGGGTTCCAAAAAATACAGAGTGCATCGGAATATAGTACCGGTACTTGGGTATTTTTGCTTTGTTTCCATGCTGGGGCTTGGTCTCTAACCCCTATAAATAGCAAGGCATCACTGTATTGATTATGTCTACTGTCACACTAGTCACGAACCCCCAAGATGAGAGAATCATCAAGATATTTGAAGTAATATTAGAAATAATGGACCTTTCAGTATGTAGTGTCCTGCAAATCACAAAAGATGCACATGGCAAACTATATTTGCAATTCGATGGGAAGGCACAGGTTATCAATTTGCAAATTGAAGAACAAAACAAAAGCAAAACTTACTTGGAAGGCATTAAGAGCACTGAAGATATATGCGATTACAACAGACAGGTGGACCAGTACTCCGCACAGCCAGGTCAGGCCCAGGACGGGCAGGAGAATGAGAACAGGTCGAGTCACAGCCCTACAAACACGGGAGAATGTGCACTCATCATAGAAGGTCATAAGAAGGTCTTTCAGGCCTTTCAAAATGACTTTTTACCCATTTTAAACAAGTCTCAGTACACTGTGAAAATCTGAAGTCCAAATGTTTTAAGGGATTTGAAAGTTTTTTTTGGGTGGGTGGTGGTGGGGTAAAATACCTCTTTAATAAACACTCCAAATCTTCACTGAACACTTTTTTTGCAATCCGTTTTTCAATAATCCTAGAGTTTATACATCCCCTAACCTTTTTAAGGGATGAGGCAAAAACTGTTTCTTTTGTTCAAACCACAATTGTTGTTGTGCCGCTGCACCTGGGGAAGATTGAGTTTTCAGATAGCGCTGTATCTGCAAGGACAAAGCCAGAACTCACTTTACTCTCTTTTATGTTCAAAAATTGTTTCCATCTCCAGAGTGCGCATAACACTCCAGCGCTGCCACAGACTTTTAGCCTGTTTGTGAAGGAATGAGGAGACACAATAATAGTGGGGATGGCGACGTGGTATGTTTCATGTTGAGCTGAAGGACGTTTGGCTGAATGGGAGACCAGAATATAATGTCCCCTCACACATTAACGTGAGCAATATGTCCTGAGTTGTATGCAAAAAATAATTGGGGTTATATTCTGGGCTCCGGGTAGGCTAAATGCATTTTTTCACACCAAACTCTTCCAAGCATGCCTTTATAGATCTGGCGATCCTAAAGTGTTGCCACAAACAATACAAAATCAAAAGCTTTCATCGGAACCAAGAATGGTTTCCTCACTTTAATACATATAACCACGATTGCACTAATGAGTGGGGGACCGTCATTAAACTTCTGCCTCGCATCTATCGCCTAAAACACAGCTGTAAAGAGCAAACACTCATGAAAAAAAGCAAACATGTACGTTTCCTATTTGTAGTTTGATGTTGGTTTTCGTGATATCCCGTCAAGACAAAGAATGAGCTCCTGAAACGTGTATTGTGTCTGCATCCAGAGTTCTTCATTCACGGCATATGAAATACATGAGTAACATTCAGTCACATCTGACAATCACTTGACCTTTCTACTCACTGTCTGCCTTATAACCTCGAGTTAAGACACTTCGTGTGTAAATGGTTAATGTAAATAATACGGTTCGCGTTCAGCATCGCACTAAGAGTATGTTGTACTGGGACCAGGTGTTAAACTGATAAGCCCAAACAACTCCCACAGAAGACTCCCGAACCACAGCTCATAATCTCTCCACTGTCTCTATTGAACATAGTTTGCTGGAAACAAGGAACAAGGAAACGCCACTTTTGTGTGTCTAAGGGTTTGTGCTTCACTGGAAGAAAGACATACACGTCGTGCATTTTTTTTCCATTTGAGCTTACCAGGTGAGGTCAAAGGTCTGCATTTTGGATGCTGAGCTTGGACTGAGCATCTTAGCACGACGACGGGCGCTGGAAACAGTCACCATGACAACCCGACACAACACAACTGAATTGACCTGCAAGTGGAGGACAGCATCAACATTGTTTCATAAAAAGTGGCCGCACAGCTCCACTTGGCCTCAGGCTGACGCCGAGAGACCTGAAAAGACTCCCCTCCGCATGAATACTTCCAACACATGCGCATGTCTTTTTTTTGTCTTCTGCAATGAACACTTTTTTTTTTTTAATCTCCAATAGACTCTGAAGCTCGCTCTAAAAAGATTTTGCAAGAGGGGTCAAAGATAAAGCATCTTTGAAGTGTCGTTTACATAGAATCCCCAAAACATCACAATGACAGATTTTCTTCAGACAATACATCATGACACCCATTTTAAAATCATTTCACATACCCATCCATAATTTAAACACACGTGCACACACGCACACACACACACGCACGCACGCACGCACACACGCACGCACGCACGCACGCACACACACACACACACACACACACACACACACACACGCACACAAACACACACAAATACACGTACATGCTTAGGGATAAAATGGCGTCACATACCGCTAAAACAAATATCACGGGTCCCACAAAAGACCAGATTGTGCCAGCCTTCAGATTGAGCCAGCAGTGACCATCGGCCTTGTACTCATTCACTGTAGCTGCCAGTGTTACGACAACTATTAGAACAGGTAGTCCTGCAAAACAATTCAATTATAATGCATTAAGAAGGGTGGTGATGGAGGTACAATAAAAAAAAAAAAACGCAACACACTGAAAGACATATTTACAGAACAGTGACTGCTTCGGCATCTCATAATCGGACTATTTTGTCTGTTCTTCATCGCCAAGCCTATTTTGTCTAACGCTCAGCACATCTGCATGGAGAGCCGCAGGAAACATCTCAATATTGTTGTGCCTATTCACATTCTGTTCTCAGCTCCTTATACAATATAACACAATTGACACAATTGGGGACGTGAACATGGACAGCTGCAGGATGTTTCACAAATGCTACAGATTGGGTTAAGGTTCAAACACAACAATGCATCTTCTTAATTTCAACAAAGCATGATGACTTTTTACATAATACATGTTAATACAACACTACTTTGTACTGAACATTTCATGTTAGTGTGAATGTGTGTGTGTGTGTGTGTGTGTGTGTGTGTGTGTGTGTGTGTGTGTGTA